TTCTCCCCCCCCCCCCCCTCATTGCCATCAGCATTCCTTGGTTGCCAACACCAATGCCAACCATCCCAATCCGCATTCCTTGGAATAAACCTTAAAAATATTTCTTGTGTGTCAGTGTTGCTATTTTTTGTTGCATTGTGTTGGAAACTTATTTCCCTATTAATAAAGTGTGCATTTGTGTTTCTACTTTTTCCCTACTATTTCCGATATCATTACCTTATCATAAAATTTTTCTAAACCAACAAAAATCATTTATAGATCCTCCATACTCTCTGTGTACTTCTCCATCAAAACTCTCAATAAATATATAGCTTCTATGAGAGACTTGCTCAACATAAATCCAAACTGATTTTGAGAAATTTTTGTCAGGTCTTAACATATATTCAATTACATTCTCCCATAATATGACACAATAAGTAAATTCCTCTATAATTTACAAACTCTTGTGTATCTCTTTTATTCTTAAAAATAGAGACCAAAATACTATTCGTAGCTCCTCAGACCTTTTCTGTTTTTAAAATTACATTAAAAAGTTTAGTAAGCCAAAATATTTATGAAACTCCTAAGCATTTCCACACTTCTATTGGAATACCATCATATCCTATTGAATTCCCGCCCTTCATTTTCTTTAAAGACTCCTCAACTTCTATTTTACTAATGTGACAATAAAAATAGACTTATTATTATTAACTATATTAAGATCACTGAATTCGATTATATTTTAAAAATCTTCATTAAAAAGTTTACCAAAATATATTACCCACCCATGTTAAATATCCTCATCTAAGAAATACAATTATTATTAACCAAAATACATTACTTCAACTAAATCTTTACTTTTCTCATTTCTTTGTTGGCTAGTTTATACGTATATCTTTCATCCTTTTTAGTATCTAAAATATTATTAAGATCACTAAGAACATAATACTTAGCACACAAATTATTCTCTTAAACTCCCTACAGACCATCTTTTATTTTTTTCCAGTTTTAAATCAATTTTAATTTTTACATTTAAATTAATTTTTATGACAAAAGTTCTTATATTTTATTTTTAAGTAAAAAACCAGAATAGTCCCCGACAATTAAGAACTGTCTAAATAAGGCCTAGAATTTTAAAATGCTCTAATTTAGTCTCAGACTATTAAAAGTTGATCCAAATTGGTCATAAATCATATTTTCCGTTAAATTTAACAATGGGTTGCATGAATAGAAGGGTATTTTCGTCTTTTATGTAATCAATCAAAATTTATGTGGTTTGTATGTAAATACCTTTTTTATTTGTTGTTGAAAAAGTATAAATTTTAATTTACATTAATAAATCCCTTCACACAATTCATCACATTGTTTTCAAATGAAAAATTTTAAAATCACAAAGAATTATACAATAGGAACTCACTCAAACTAAAATTATATGAATAACTCGATTTCAATTGAATTTTTAATATTAATATTATTTGTGTTTTAAAATAATTAATGTTAACTTGAAAAACCAATTAATGAATTTATTTTACGTTTAAAAGATTATGTATGTGAATGTTAAAATTATGTGATACATGACAAACTACTTATGTTAAAACTCGAGCCGCCAACTTCCCTATCTAACAACTAGCCTCCCTCCCCCATCCAACAGCAGGTTTGCCGCAACCCACTCCCATCATGCCCCCTTCCAACCAGTTGCCAAATCTCCTTTCCTTTCACTTGCTAGTCCCTAACCACCCAACCCCTTCTTTCTCCCAACCAACATCCTCTCTGCCTGCAACTCTTACGTTTGTCGTCCACAACCCCCTAGCCACATCACTGCTACGCTATAGGCTATCCTGCTTCACCTTACTAAAATATTTGTGTTGTGTTGTGTTCTCTTTGTGTTTCGAGATCGTGATTGTAACTTCATTTTTTTAATTACAGTAAAATCTGCTCCCCAATTGATTTTTTGAGTTAATTCTGGTATTGTTGAGGCTCACAACTTAGAAGCATTCCTAGTCATATTCCCTATGATGGTTTAAAAAAAAAATCACAGTTGACAGGTGTTTTATAAGTTTTCCATGTGAGACGATCTGCAAGATTAGGTTTAGTGTGATGTTGTGTCTATGGATGTGTGTCACAATCCTTTGGGTCGACTGTGACAGTACAATAGAAGAACATTCCATGATGGCCACAAAATACAAATAGTGATGAGTACTTAGATAGGAGGAGCCATTGTACCTCGTGCTACATTTTTACAGACTACGAGAGAGGCTCCGATGAAACTAGCCTTGGTGACGCTGGAAGCCAGTGTCATGGACCTTGAGGCAGTGCAACCCTCACTAGAGGAGTTTCATAATTCCTTGACATTCAGCCTACCCCCTGGGTTACCGCTACTAAGAGCTACCTAACATGTCATCATTTTAGATAGAGATGTGAATATTTTGAGTAATTTATGGAATGCTTTATGGAGTAAGCTGGGTACTAATTCCCAAGTCAGTTGGCAGGTGTCTTGTGAAGTATTTTTATGGGAGAATAGCTACAAGATTAAGTTTGGTATGATGTCGTGCCAATTAGTGTGTGTCCTATTCTTTTGGGTCGATCGTGGTTGTACGATAGAGGTACACTCAGATAGAGGGAGGAACCACCGTATCTCGTGCTACATTTTTACAGACTACGAAAGAGGCGCCCGTGAAATTGGACTTGGTGATGCTAGAAGCCAGTGTCATGGAACATGAGTCAGTGCGACCCACATTAGAGAGATTTTAGGATTTCGTGACATTCAGCCTACCCCTTGCATTGGTACTATTGAGAGCAACTCAGCATGTCATCATTTCAAATAAAGATGAAAATATTTTAAGCCATTTCTGGAAGGCTTTATGTAGTACGTTGGGAACTGAGACTCAAGTTAGTTCAACAGTGTCGTTACAGATAGGTGGTTAGATAAGAATGTTGAACCGCTACTATGGGAAAGAACAACCTTCTCGCCGCTCGAACATCACCTTCAGAGTATTCTCCACTGTTTGTAGCCCGGACAGCCGCCGCCTTTGTCGAACCTGCTGACCAATAACAACTTTATGCCTGCCATCCCTTCTAAACATAGTAAACCCCATTAAATAGCTTTCCCTCGCTATTCCAAAACCACCCTTCAGTGAAATTCACTTCCTTAGAACAGTCTCAAATAATAATATTAAAATTCATGCTAAATACAAAATTTGCAATTTGATAGCACCCAACTTAGCTTCCTCAGGTTTGAGCCATTGAGCCATTTAATTTAATTTTACACATTTTTATGTTCAAGTTTATTCCATTTTCAATAGTCCACATTTAGGGTTTTTAAATTATGAAGTTAAAAAGACAAAGGTACAACCGTCTTTCAAAATATATGCAGTACAATGTGCTTCACAAATCACAATAAAACATTAATATATCAATTTTGCATTAATTTCTATTTAAGAAATTTCTAACTTTCCTAATTAAAATGTTCAGAGAAATTAGCTTAGCAGTTGGAGTCAAGCTAACATTCTTAGATTGAACTCAGCTCCTTGCAAGATACTAAACAAAACAATAGCAAGGACGAGCACTTACCAAGACATAAAGACATTAATGTCCTCTTAGAACCACCATAACAATCCAATGCATCAAACGCAGCCCTTGAAGCATCAATTGAATCCCCATCCTCAAGCAAAATAGATGCAGATTCTGTTTTGGCTTCTTCTGGTCGATGGAAACGCAATTCCATACAGAATTTGCTTTCATTGTGTATTCGAAGCAATGGGGAAATAATTATCGACAAGCCTTCCTACAAAAGTCAATGTTAAAATATTTAGAATATAAAATAAAATAAGATTAATATTTATTCTAGATTAGCATGTATAGTCACAAAAGGAAAACAAAAAAAATTACCTCATTATTTGGCAAAACCTCAACCACAACAAAGGGTCCAGGAAATATTCTTGAATCTGCTTGAGACAATGTAAAACACTAATAAAAACTAAAATCATAACTTGAAAATTTAACTGGAAGCATATTTGAAATGCAAGCAGTAAAAAGCGGCTAACAGGAATGATAGTTTGACCGAGATGGATCATGCATCACCGTCTTTAACCTGCCTTCTTGAAATATTTATATGCACCTGGTTGCTACAAGAAATGAGGAAACGCCAACTAGTCTTGCTTTCCTCTTCATTTGAGTGCTACCCATCTTGGCTTGGTCAGATGTTTCTTAGGGGAAAAAAATATATCGAAGTAGCCCATGTTTATAAGGATAATCCAGGCCAAGTTGCTAACGTTGTTGCCTTCTGTAGGTCTCTTAGCTAGCTTTCATAGAAAGCTTTGCTGAAATTACATCTTTAATTTGGTCCGTTTGATTTTGTTTTGAAATTTAAAATCAGTTGCCAGCTTTCCCTTATTAAAAGCAATCTTTGTTAAAGGAAACTATTCCAACTCGTCGCTCGTAAAAATATATAATAAAAGATTAACAGCACATCCTGCAAATTCCACAATAGTATCTTAAACTAATTATTTAATTACACTTGCCTCCCCTACGTTTTCTGATATTACACTCACCTGTCCTGTCTATCCTATTAATATTATATTACATGTAAACCAATTCATTTTTTTTTAAATTACATTTGCTTCCCTGATTTTTAGATATGATGTTATCTGTTAACCCCAATTCTTTAACTGAGAACTTTAGAAATGGGGTGTTAGTTCAAAGAAATATATGAAATATTGACTAAATAAGAAAGTAAGTATAATTAACCTTATTCATTTTGCTTATTTTCTTGATACTCCAAAAACTACAATTCTTTTTTGCAATCAAATTTTCGCATGAAATTAGTTTGCAGTCTGTACAAAATAATATTTCTTTCCTCCCAAGTACAAAAATCAGCATTTTTAATTTTATGGCTAAAATTTTGAAATTAGCTAAACATACTAGTTTTTTTCCTTAAAATATATGTTCTCTATTGCAAAATATCATATGCTACCAATAAATTAAGACGAATTTGTCTTTCTATCTCCTAATTCACAAGCAACACAGATCTTCTCATAGCCCTAACTATAGTATAAATGCTCATTTGAGTTACTCCAACGATCATACACTTTTCCTTTTGCCTATGTTCTAATAACCCATCCCACTCATCCCAAAATTAGTTTTTCATACAAGCTCCACATTCTATATAACCTAGAGAATAATTAATTCATAACAATCAATGCATCATTAACCTTATCCACCATGCTATCATTATGTTCACCTCTTTATCCACAAGTAATCCTATTTGTAATCTAATGTTAACTTATTCCAAAATACTGTAGCTTATAACACTCATAAATATGCCTAGATTTTTTACCTTCCATTAAGTTTTTTTTTCTTGTAAACATGTGACATTGATTGATTTTCTAACATTTATACAATGAGTAGAAGAAAATGAATAAAAATTTTTTGAAGGAAATAATTAAAAGAAAAAACATAACAAGCAACAAAATCTTAATACATTGGATTGTTGAATCTTTATGAAAAGAAACTACAAATCCAAAATAATTCATGAATATCTCAATGAATTCATCATAATTTCAATAATCAAATAAATATTTAAAAATGTATAAATAAAGTCATATATATAAAGGATGTCAAACCCCAAATACAGATAAAATTATTATTATCCTTACCACATTAGAAGTAATTCAAAATAATTAAAATAAATGAAGAAAATTTGTTTATAAATGAGAAACGCTTCAAAAAATATGAAAAAAATCAAGCTTGGTAAAATGTCTAGTTTTACTCCATGGGTTAGTCCATGAGAAATCAAATTTGTATGAATTGAATTGGCAGAATGTCCAAACACACTGATTATATTGCATCAAAAATATCGCCTTTTACTCCATGCTTTCACATTCACAATATATGATTCATAAACACACTTCGAACATCATTCCTACTATGTAAAGAATATCCTTTTACTCTTACATATCATAACAAAATGCTTCTCCCCAGCCATGTACTATATCAAAATACTTAGCTTTTGCCAGTCTAAATTTAGATAAATTTAAAGCTTTTGGTATCCCTACGATTAAAAATCACCTTGAATTCTCGTGGAACAGTTAAATTCTGATATCATAATGATCGTAGCTTACCCAAAAAATTTGGGATTAGACTAATGATGACAGAAGAATAAATAAGACAGCCTATCGAACATAATCTTTCCTAAAAGTATTACAAGCAAAAATGCCTCACATGATTCTCCAAACTAAATTAAATAATTTTTAGATCTTCTTTCAAGCTAACTTCAGTCGTTCTAATATAATAAGCAATTTCTTTTATTTATGGCCCTACAAAAATACTAAGTTTTAAACCTTAAACTTGATAATTTATATTGTCCTTTTCTATCTTCATTATTGCTCAGGATAAACCATTTACTTCCTTGAAGTATCATTAGTGTGATGAGAGAAAATCAAAAATAATTTTAATTCACATAGATTAGTTCGTTTTAATTTATTTCTCTAGATGTTTAGCCAAGGGGTTATTTAGATCATAAGTTCATACATTTTATGGACACAAACTCTCATGGTTGATTATCTCTATTGCTCACGAAAGAGCACTCTCAATTAAAAATGTTACCTAGGCTCAATTTTAGTCTTAGATTAGTATTTAGTTCAAAGTTAATTAATCGAGAAAGACTATGGGGTGAAGGTAAACCCAATCAAGATTTAGGATTCCAACAACCCTAAATTACTGGGTGGACCTAATCAAGATTTAAGATTCCAACATCCCAAATTTAATAGTGGACCTAATTTACCAAAGTTTGAGCATTTTTAAGTGATAAAAGCTTAAAAGTATTAAATAGTAAATTAAGAACCAATAATACTGAAATAAATATTTAATAAAGGATTTTAAGAATAATTTCTGGATTCAATCAAGGTAAATAAACAAACTAATTTAAATCCGTGAAGTTTTAAAATAAATGGCTAACTATAATTTATCAAGAAGATATATCAGTGAAAGAAAAGTTAATGGTAAAATATTTGATCAAATAATAACAAAATGAAAAAAATGAAATATATAAACTACATTGCATGGAAAAGAATTGAGAAAGATAACAAGGAAACGAACAAGAAAAAGAGACTGAGTGGATCATAGCTAGTTCTTGAATAGGGACCAAAGCTAGTTCTAGAAAAGGTAGGAGCCACAACTTGAGCAGAAGTTGGTGAAAGCAAGAGAGTAGGAATCCATACAAGAAAGAAAAGATGATGAGGGCACGCATGAACAGGTCAAGCTCCGCGTGATGTGCAAGGTATACGTGGATTGGTGCAGTTTATTTTCATTTAGGAAGGAGAAAAAAAAAAGAAACACTTCTCTTCATCTTCCTCTTTCTCACGAACACAAGCATTACGTAATCCAGATTTCTTTTTTCTCTTTTTCCTCCATGAAAGCAATTTAATTTGGAAATCCTAGATCTAAGCCCTTCCACATGAAGATGATTCACTAAGAAAATATTAGGGAATTGACGCTTAATCGTAGAAAAAAAAAATAAAAAAACTGAAATGCTGTTATATACAATTTAAGAGGTATGCTCGACAGAACAAGAGAGAACAAAAATTTAATTAATATAAAAAAATAAGTATCTGAAATATTATTTTATTTGTGGCATAGAATGTAGGCGTTTAAAAGAGAAGCATTAAACAAAGTTGAGTGTTGTTGAGATGAGGATGCTTAGGTGGATGAGTGGCTTGACACTAACGAAAAAAAATGCAAAATGAATATATCCGTGATAGGATTGGTGTAGCTCTAGAGGCGGATAAAATTAGAGAGTGTCATCTTGGATGATTTGGTCGCATTAATCGTCGACCATCTAATGATACAGTTAGGAGAGTAGATGTTTTAGATTTGATTTAAGCTAAGAAAGGGAGAAGTAGACCTAAAAAGACTTGGACATATTGTATAAAAAATGATCTTAATCTATTAGAATTAAATGAAAATATGACATTCAATAGGACGCAACGGAGAAAAAAGATTCATGTAGCCGACCTAACTTAGTGGGGTAAAGACTTGTAGTTGTGAATTGAAATAATTATTTGAGTAAAAACACAATTAAATTAAATAAAGTAGAATAAATGATGCTAAACTAACAAAACTTGAATGCAGAGAGTTTGCATAATAGTTTCAAGAAAACATGAGAGTTGATGGCTTCATTGACATAATTTTATTAAAAGCAATTAGAAGAATTTTGGTGAACTATAATTTGATTAATACAAAAAGATGAATCTGAAAATTATGAGACCAGTTTAGATTTAGCTTTAATTAAATTTTCATGTCTTTATGCTATGAAGTTAAATCTAAAATATTAAGGTACAATCCTAAAAATATCAAAAACAAATAAAAGAAACTAAATAAGAAATGTCAAGTTATAAGGATGTCCAAAATGAAATAGAGATATTAAATTTATACCATAACTCTAATTATAAAGATTAAGTTACAGAAGCTTAAATAAATTAAAAATTCCAGGAATTAACTAAGTATGATTCATTTGTTAAAATACAGGTAAAATATTATTAAATAATGAGAGTAAATCATAATAAAGAAGGATAAATGATTAAAGAAAAACTAAATAAACTAGCCAATATTAATGCCTTAAAATGCATTGTCAAATGATTACATGTATTAAGATAAAGAAAACCATAAAGGACTAAAGGGTGAATCAAATCATCGAAGGCTAAGGTCGGCACTAATATTCTAATTTTTTTCAAATAATAAAAGTAAATTTCTTTTGTATAATGATATATTTTGATTATAGGTATTAAGTTAAAGAAGCTGGAATTTAAGGATCAGGTGACGGCAAATCTTTTAAGTGCACTTAATAAAGTTATTACTTCAATTTTACAATTGGAAAATGTCTAAAGAATATCAATCACTTTTTAACGCACAATATCTTCTCATTGTCGTGAGTGTTAATCAGAATTTA